ATATAACACACATAATACTTATTTATTTTTCTGTCAGAGGTTTATAACCGCTTTTAGCACTATTATGTCCATGTGTTTATCTTATTCATAAATATTTACAAGAGAGACCGCAATTCTTTTTGTTGAAGCAGGCACCAATTTTATGTTTATATAGGTAGAGTTTTCATTATGTCTCCATTGCTTTAGACATTTGAAACTCCTTTAAGAATATAAAAACTTATCCTCCCCACACAATGGATCACACTAGTTTTTAAAATTTGAATAGATTTTACTAGTGCTTAATAGATACATAACAATAACTTGTTTTTACCCATTAAACTTTGTAATTAAAGGTAACTAATTCAAAGTTGGGTTCTCATTATTGGTATATAATAGTAAGGGTTTAAATCCATTCTACTTGTAGTACTCTTAATCAATATCTTGGAATTCAATTTTTTTCTGGTAATTATCCCTACTTGAGATTAAATCTCTAGTATAATCATTTCAAGCTAATATGTCCAAACTTTTCATTTTGCATATCATTTATATGCTTTAGACATTGTTGCCTCATTCTTATCATTTTAAGAAATCATTAGTTTTGGTTGTGGCTACAACTCTATACTCATAAATTTCAACCATTCTATTTCTATACTTTTATACATTTTTAATATAATTATACTTCTAGTATAATTGGATAAACTTAATGAATAAACCAAACCATTTTAGTCCATTTGTAAGGATTTTTCTATAATTTTACTTTAATAAGTGTTTAAACTTATTAGCTTGTATAATTTGCTCATAAAATTATACTGAAATCTTACAACATTATAGTGGTAAATTTTTTTAAATTTTTTTATTCTTATCACCCTTACCATGTGCAAGTATGCATTCTTTTATTACAGAATATCTCATTCAATTGTCAAGATATTATAGATACTTAATCAAGTTGAAATTTCATTTATTTGTTGACTATTTTGTAGTTTTTTTTTTAGGTAGGAGGTCTCCAAATGCACTCTTAGTGAAAGATAAATAGTAAATATTCTATATCTTAATTTTTTTTGCATGAAAGTTCCAAAAATTTTATATTAACTCAATATAAGAGTTTACATCAATAAGTAGATTTCAAATATAACCATGCTTCTTTTGTCTTCTTTTAAAACTTTTTATGTCAATTCATAATACTTATATGAATCTATTTCATCATGAACACTATTAATATATATATATATATATATATATTACCATGTATAAAACTATTTCCATCACCCAAATGGATCAAATAGCATTCCTTTTGCTATTATAAAAGTTTTCATATTTACAAGATCTTTGAATTACTCATGGCTTCCAAGGTAAATGTACTTTAAAATTTTTCACTATATATATATATATATATCAAAACTTTTAATAAAACCATAAATGATAAATCACTTGTATAATCCATGAATTAGATCATATACATAACAAAAAATTACCACAACATGATCAAGATTGTGGCATCAATTTTGGCTTATAGTTATTCTAAGCCAACTATAATAATCCATATTATACCTATAAATCATGTAAATTTGGCTATTGAAGTTATCTCATTTATAGTGATGGCTTTTAGTGAAAAACAATTATCTCAAATGTTATCATGAGTTTTCAATACATATATTAATTGCTCAATGACCAATTCCAAGTTCATAACTATTGAAACATCTAAATTTGATTTCAAATTTTTATGAGAACTTTATTTCTCCACCATTTTGTAGCATATATATCTCTATTATTTACCACTTTCAATTAGTCATAACATTTTTAGATATATAATAAATTCAAACTTTACTCATAGGACCAATATGCCTATGTACAATGAGAGTCAATGGAATATTTAACTCTAATTTCAAATACTTTCATAATCATTTTGTGATTAATATATTCATATCTAGATCACCATATCAATGCAAGTCATGAAACATGAATCTAAAGAATTATTTTCATAAAATAGCATAAATAATAATTATAATGAGTTCTACTTATATTTCATGAAAAAACTCATAATGAATTTTTATTGGTTAAATCATTGATTGGCTAACTCCAAGGTTTATGGCTTCCACAAACCAATATTATTATCTGAGCCCATATTTTAATATGGTATATAACCAGCCACATCTTTGTCATTGTCATTAAACTATTGAAAACCTTGAAAATTTGTGCAGTTTTCATTTAAACAACTTGTAAAAGACCATTTTTTCAAGTACAAGAAGTAAAAATATCTTCATTGTCCTTAACCAATAATGTATTAATTGAATAATAACATTCTATCTCCATAGTCAATATCTTTCTTATATGTATAAGAAAGAAAATTCCATCCCATTCAGTTTTTTTTCGTAACATATTGACAAACTATATCAATGTTCTCTATGCCATCACAAAATAGAATTAAACACATACATGTATTGGTGTCTTTGGAACATTGAATTTGCATGTTTTTTTTTTAATTTATAAACATGGCTAATTAGACATTGATGAGCATCCTTCAAAATGCTAGTAATTGACAAATACTTCAATATTATTTTAATGACATGCCTTTTCTTTTAATCAATATCCCATATGCGAAAAGCAATAATACTTTTGTGTAACCATTGATTAACTTTTTGACGGCTATTTATGATTTTCACTTTGTGACTATTCACAATAAAATTTTATTTTCTAAAATCACTTCTAATGTAATACACCTAGCAAGCAAAATACATGTCACACTACCCATGTTTATGATATTAACAATTATTTAGTTTATTATCCACTAATTAATCTATGAAATACCATATCTTAATAATAATAATTATTCGCATATATTAATTTAATTTTAATTAATTTTCATGAAAATTGAACACTAATCAAAATTTAAACCAATAATAAATTAAAAAAAATCAACCTTTGATTTATAAACAATTAACACAGTTAGAACTATACAAATAGCTAAACTCAACTTATTATCTTAATTTTGGTGCCATGATTTAAAAATAAAACTAATCTTGTAGCCAAATCTTATTGTTTGCATATATTATCTACTTATATCTAATTTTTCATGGTAAATTTCTTTACCCGTTTTCAATTATTTTCATAGAAACCATAGGACAATTTGCCTCTTCTATATATAACAAACACATAACAATTAAACAATCAATTATTCCATTAGAATCCAATTTAATTTGTTACTTACTGACAAGTGATAATTCTTTTGATCATAGATCGATTTACGTCTTTTTTTTTTATTTTTTCAGGTTATTTCCTATCCCAATATTTATAAGCATCAATTTTTCAAATAGATATAATATAATTTATTAAACCAAATTATGGAGTCAATTTCAGTATATGCATAAACTTAGGCAATGTAATCAATATTTTGTATATTGTATTTTGACTTTACAGGCTAATGAAATTAATTGTTAACGTGTTTATCTCATTCAGTCAATCTTTTTACTAACAATTATGCAAAAAAAAAAAAAAATACATACCTCTAATGAAGATCTTTACGAAAATTAATATTTTGATCCATGGAAACAATAATCTTTTAACACCTTCTGCTTTCTCCAATATTGATTTCTAAATCATGTTAATTTCTTTTCCTTGTTTTTTTCTCATTCAAAATATAAATTTCTCATAATTATCTTTAAATTGTTAGAAAAAATAAATAACAGAAGAGAAATAATATAAAAGAATTTTAGTTTTGAGGTGTAAAGAACACTTTCTTAAAAGTAATTATGCCTTTAGGATATAACAAAATCTTAAACTCTTAAATCAAAAGTAGTGAAAGTTATTATACTGAAAGATTTAGTTATAATAAATAAACAAACATAAACTTTTATTCAAATGGTTATGATTTTCTATATAATTATAGCATTTATAAATAACAATTTATTTATGTTCAAATAGTTATAATCATTTATCATATGACAGTTGTTTCTATTCAAACATAATTACATAAAATATGAATAACATTAATATAAAAATTAATTTTATTCATTAATAATTAAATTTTTTATCTAATAAAATGTATCTGAACTACCAATAGATTTTACCAGTACTTGCAAACCCGAAAAGAAGGAACATATGTGAGGATGGTCACCGCCCAAGATGCGGTTTAACTGATGAAACGGTATTGCACGCAATTGTGGAATGTCAACACGCAGTGGAGGTTTGGAAGGAGGTGGGCATGGGTAATGATTGGATGGGGCAGCATTGGCAAAATATAAGACAGTGGCTAGGCATCGCTACAAAAAGTAATGAAGGAAATACTATGGAAAGGCTATTCACTCTAGCCCGGGCAATTTGGTCAACTAGAAACGATGCAGTTAAAAACCAGACAGGCCACGGCCAGCTTTACGTCCAACTACCTAGAGGAATATCAGAGAGCTTAGCTTAGGAGGGGTGAGGAGGTAGTGAAGGAACAGATGAGATGGAAAGTCCCCACAAAGGACACCGTCAAAATAATTTTGATGGAGCACTGAATACAATGGAAGGAAATAGAGGCATATGGGGGGTGGCCAAAAATTCTTCGGGGGAAATACTGGGTGCTACGTGCGAAAGAGTAGATGGTTGCAGAGACCCTACTGCAACTGAAGCAGTGAGATGGGGAATAGAAATGGATTTCCTTAAGGTTGATATAGAAGGTGATGCACAATGGATTATTAAGCAGCTGACTCTTAAAGGGAAGAACTTGTCCTCTGTAGGCCATTAAATCGACGAGGTGTAGTTGTGGTTGAGTAACGTTTCTAGGTGGAAGTGCAGGTTTATGAGGCGCAAAGCAAACATGGTTTCCCACTCTCTGACAAAAATGGCTTTTAAGGGATAGTGAATTTTCTCATGGGATAATAGTTGTGCGGGATATATTAATGAAATTGCTGCAAATTACATAAATTATATGTAAGTACTGAAGTTCCTCTTTCAAAATTAAAATGAAAGCAAAATTATGCTCAATATCTAAATAATTTGTTTATTTTTATAATAATTAAGGACCATATTTCTCTGACAGAGACATTGACCAATAGGCAACAGCCTGCAGTTGGAAAACAAAAATCAACACATGTACAAGCGTAGTCTATTAGGAGTAATTTAATAAATAATTAGTACATTCAAAGGCGGGAGAAAGCAAGAATCTGAAGATGAGACTGAGAATGGATTGGAGGATCTTCCTTGTTGACTTGGGTAGAATTCCGCTCGGTAACCTGGAAAGTTTTGGCCAATGCTCTTAGTTGGAACTTCTGCATTTTCCCCGTTGAAGTTTTGGGCAGCTGAGGTAGAAATTCCACCTTCTTTGGAACCATGAAATGAGGAAGACTTTTACGGCAGTAAGAAATGATATCAGCTTCCTTCACATCATCTGTTTGTCCACCTGCGTTCTCTCTAACCGCGATAAAAGCACATGGGCTCTCCCCCCAGCGTGGGTGCGGCATTGCTACCACTGCTGCCTCAAGAACTCTTGGATGCCTGTAAAGAACGGACTCCAACTCAACACTGCTGATGTTCTCACCCCCAGATATGATAACATCCTTTGATCTGTCCTTGATTTCCAGGTACCCATCTGGATGAATCACACCCACATCTCCGGTGATGAACCACCCGTTCTTGAAGGCCTTGGATGTAGCCTCTTGTTCCTTTAAATAACCTTTCATGATGCTACTTCCGCGCAACACAATCTCCCCCATTGTCTTTCCATCATGTGGAACACTTGTCATGGTTTCCATATTCTTCACATCTACGTCTGCCAGTGTCAATATGCCGACCCCTTGCCGTGCCTTGAGTCTTGCCTGATGATCCTGCGGAAGATTGTTCCACTCGGCTTGCCATTCGCATACCAGGGCTGGGCCAGTGGCCTCCGTCAGACCATAGGCGTGTGTTACTTGGAATCCGAGGTGCTCCATTTTCTCGAGCAGTGAGGGCGGAGGGGGTGCACCGCCGGTGAGTATTTGGACGGGAGAGGCGATCTTGCAGCGCTCATGTGGTTTGGCGTCGAGAATGATGTTGAAAACGATGGGTGCGCAGCACATGTGCGTCACTTTGTGAGAGGCTATGTTTCGGTACATGTCGTACGCAGTGGTGTTGCGTAGACAGATGTTAGTGCCACCACGTGCTGCGCTTCCCCAGGTGAAGGTCCACCCGTTGCAGTGGAACATTGGGAGGGACCACAGAAAGACTGGTTCATTCCTCATTTCCCAGCACAATATCAAGCTTAAACTACTGAGATATGCGCCTCTGTGGCTGTAAACAACTCCTTTGGGTTCTGATGTGGTTCCGGATGTGTAGTTGAGCGAAATAGGATCCCACTCATCTTGGATTTCAGTGGGGACGAATCCTGGATTACCCATGTGGACTAACTGCTCATACTCCAACTCGCCTAGTCGGACACCTGTGGGCGAGTCTATGTCATCTATGACAATCACCAGTGGAATTGAGGACTCGGCTGCTGCAGACGAGGAGTGATGTTCCTGTGAGCTGCCCATCAAAATCCGGAGAGCCTCGCGTGCCAGTGGCACATACTGATAGTCCACGAAGAACGCCTTGGCCTCGGAGTGGCGAAGAATGGTGGCGACGTTCTTAGCATCAAGCCTAGTGTTAATGGTGTTGAGCACGGCTCCAGCCATGGGAACAGCAAAATGCATCTCGTACATGGCTGGAACATTAGGAGCCAGAACGGATACCTGCAAATGGAGGTTTCTAATTAATATTAAGAAAAGAGATACTAGTATACATGGATGAAATAAATAAGTATATACGAGGATTTCACTTACAACATCGTTTTTGAGGATGTTAAGAGAGAGGAGGGAGGAAGCGAGGCGACAGCAACGTTCGTATGTTTGACGCCAGGTGAAACGAGTGGTCTCGTAGATGAGGGAAGTACGACTAGCATAAGCAGAGCTAGCCCTTTTGAGGAAAGTCAAGGGAGTAAGTGGCACATAATTTGCTTTGCATTTTGGTAGTTGGTCCATTGAATTTGGGGCGATGGTTTGATGAGTCAAAAATTAGAGAGACAGGAAGACGAAGATGAGGGATGTTGTGATCAGGTCACTCTGTATTGCGGATGAATTAGGATTGATACAAGAGACATATATAAGAAGATTAAAGGGGGTGGTGAGTGAGACATGTTGATCAGGTGTAAAATAATAAGAGTATGTATTGAATGCAGTATTGTTATCTTATTAATGATAAATATAAATTTTTAAAATAAATATGTAAAAGAAATAAAATTTTTTAAAAAATTATTTACTAATAAGATAATGTTATATGATTTATCTTATTAATAAAATGATATTATTTTATTTTTTATAAAATTTATATATTAATAATGTATCTTATAAATCCAAAAAATAATACTTCCTTTATCTTTCTTTTTTAATTTTTTTAGATGTTTCCAAATTATGTTTTTTAATATTTAAAACTTTTATTTTTTTTATTTTAAAATTATATTTTAAAATTTTTTTACTTTTAACATTAAAAATTATGGCATTTTAATTTTATAAAAAATTTTAATTTTAATACTAAATAAATTAAAGTTATTTTTTTTCAATTTCATAAAATTAATACATAACAAATATTTATTCGAAATTGTATTTGACCGTCAGGAAGTAACAGTAATTGAAAAAAAAATGTGTGTTTCCAAGGGAAGTTGATAGGAAATTGCTAAGACAAGGAGTTTGAAATAAGGATTTTTGAGTTGACCTGAACAACCCTTTCCACGTTCACACATTTACTGACAGTCACCATTATTTTGTGCTTTAGATATTATACTTGTTTTCCTTGTGGGGCTGCTTGACTTCACCACCACAATATGTCTTCTTTATTTATTTATTTGAATTAACTGCCACCATCTATTATCTATTTATTCGGCTCATAAATAATTAGGCATTGTACTAAACAAAAAAAAAAAAAAAAATACACACACAAACAATTACCAAATGCCTTTTTTTTTTTTCCTAGTTATCTTAATTCTAAAAAACAATTTCTCAAAACCAATTTTTGTAAAAAAAAAAAAAAAAATCAGATTTTCTTGACAGTAGCAACGGCCAAGTATAATCTCAGTCAGTCAATCAGTGTTCTTAATAGCTGTAAATTTTCCTAAACTTTTGCAAACGAATTGATAAATAAAAAATTAATATAAATGGATACAAGGTTGTTATGGGTGTTGCATGGGTTGAAATAAGGAAATCACGTTTTGGGTTTTGTTATATCATATCGTACTATGATGTTATTTATTTATCTTCTATAAATGAATAAAAATCAAAATCTTTGACAAAAAAATTAATGTAAATGATTTATTCTTTTGATATGTACAATCTTAAATAAATGTCATGTGTCATACATTTAATTATTTTGATTGAATTTAATTTAAATTTAAATATTTTATTTTATATAATAAAATATATTTATTTCTTTTTATATTTTTAGTTGATTTACTATTTATATTTATGTGGGATTATTATGAATAATAGAATTACTTTGAGCCATTTAGGATAAAAAATGTGAAAAATGAATCAAATTGAAATCGAACACAATAACCATAATAATTCTAATAATTATAGACATACAAATTTGAATTAACTGTCATCCAAAATTTATTGCAAAATCTTATTGTAAATATATTTGTTCTTTTTCTATGTTCAAATACATTAAACATCTATATTTACACTCTTAACCAGTATGTCTTTCATTTCATTATTATAAATAGATAGCTCATGCTTCAGATTTTCAATACAGTTTGTAGGTTCTTTAACATTTTACATATCCTTTTATTTTCTTTTTTCTTTTAATTTATGTCTGATTACTTTTGTAAAGATTGAATTCCCATTAATAAAAAAAGTTAATGTATGATGCTTTATACGGTTTAAACCATTGCAATCTTACTTGGTATAAAATTTATTGTTTATATTTCCTTTTTATCTTTACATATCTCTTGATATTTCTTTAACGATGATTTTTTTTTATAATTTTAACAATTATTTTAGTCGGTACACATACATATTGTTACAGCCTGTTAGAAGGATTGGACTACTTGGACTAATGGGGTATTATTCAAGTCCAATCCAATAAACTTAAACCTATTTTAAATGTTTGTTAAGTCAGTTAATATGGGATTAGTTACAGAGGTGCTAATTACAAGGGGGTCATTGTGTGGGAGTGATATATGATGTATTGGAGTGACAGATGTCAGAGGAATATACAATATAGAAAAATTCTTATTTCTTTCTCTCGATTCTTCTTCTCCTTCTTCTTATCAAGTTGTGCAGGTACTCTGCTGCAGCTTTAACTTCTTCATCCCATTTAGCTCATATCACATATATTTTTATATGTTATTATACAATCAAGGTTGTAATTAATCTTTTTTGCTTTGAGATTGTAATTTAGCGCTTAATTGTATAAAGTTGTCTTTAGCTTACAGTTAGAAAGAATTTAACATACTAAAAAAGTTCTTTACTGAATCTGTCTTCCTTCATGTAACTGGTACTAAGATTACTCATGTTTTAAAAAAATATTATAGGATAAATCTAAAGAAGATTTATTGGCATTGATATAATTTAGTATAAGTTCTTGATTTTTTGGTTTTTTCTATTTTCTTTTGGTAATTGATTAATATAAATAGGAGTGCTATATGTTGGTAATTGATTAAGATTGTTAATTTTTGGTATAAGCACTTTGGATTTTAGATTATTCTTTTTTGGTTGGAAGCTTCTCTCTAGAAGCCTCCAAATGCATTGGTTTAGTTGTTAGTTGGAGATCATCACTATCCATACAAATTTTCTTTTCATTTTTTGAAGTTCTGCTTTTTACGATGAAGTTTAGATATTTTCTATTGACATCTTGATAATTCTATAATAATTATAGAATTATCATAGGTTTTTATACTTAATTATCACACTTCTACACTTTAATTTTGCTTAATTTAGTCTATATTCCACCTAGTTGTGTTAATTGTCCTAAATGTAGGAAAAATGTGAAATGTATAATGCATGGAGTACAATAACCGAAAGCTTCCTTCTGTGAGCTGCCATGGTGATTCAAGATTGATTAGGAACAGAGCTACATTTGATTACCTAAGGGAGCCATGAAGATGATTATGAAGTGACGAGCATGAACCAAAACCAAGCATCCCTTGGAAGTGTACAAGATGTGAGCTGCTTATGTGTGCATGAAAAGGGTGATGTGGCTAACTAAGTTAGATAAAGACATACTAAGGTGGATTAAGGTACTAATCACAACCTTCCACATTAGAAAATATGGCAAGAAACCAGTTAAGAATACTGATGTGGAGCTGCTCTCGTTTGTGACACAAGTAGGGGAACCAATGGCATTAAAAGACAAAATTGGACCATAAGGGAAAGTGACAACTATTGCTCCATTTCTTACTGCTATGATTCATGGTTTTGGGGAGAATTTTAGCTGCAAATTCAAAGGTTGAGATGTACAATGAGCTAACACGAAGGTTGGAAGACATTAATCTACCAAGGATAAGGCACATAGGTTACAAGGAGATTGATTGGCTGCATGCGAGACAAGTCAGCAAGCTCACTAACAGTTCGATTTTGAGAATATTCTAGACCTCATTCTCTCTCATTTGAAAGGTACACATGGCTATCCACTTATCTCTTATATGGCTTTATAGTCTCTTCCCATTGGTCCATATGTAAAGGCAACATATGGAAGAAAGCACACATGGATAGACCACAGCACATGTTCGGTTTTCAAACTCCATAATACTCTTTAATTGAGCTGGCTTATTGAAGGGCTGAGATTGCTTGATGAAGAACCTTGATAAGCTGAAAAATACCTGGACCCTTACTTTAAACAAAATGTTAGAGGGATGAAAAAGGGACAGCTTCCCTTGTATTTTAGAATTTTCCTTTTCTATCCTAGTGTCGACATAGCAAGTAGCAGTAGTTGCTTCCCGTAGACATCAATTTGTCCAAAAGTAATAAATACGTAATATAAGTATAAAATATGAAATATAATAAAAAAATACGAACTACAAAAAAAATGAAATACATAATAAAAATATAAAAAAAAAAGAAGAATAGAACAAAAAAAAAATCAAGGATGGCAGTGGTGCCATCCCCGGCACCACTGCCACCACCACTGCCACCAGACCCTACACTGCCACCACCCGTGATCGCCAGAGCCTATCCTCCACCCTTCAAATTAATTCTTCCGTTGACAAACTACTAGATATAGCCAAAACTAATAAAAGAGGCATGGGGCTCGTGTTTACACCCGTGCCGAGCCCCATGCCCTTCCCCCCAAACACACATGGCTGGAGCTTTATAAATAAAGCTCCTAGCAAAGCCAAAAAAAAAGAGGGAGAAAAAGGAAAGGGACGCTGCCAAAAAAAGAAAAAAAACACAAAAAACTTGTAGACACCGATTTTGTCTGGGTCTACTATTTTATTTCTATAATAATAATAATAATATTTAACAAAACAAACAAAAAAACAAAACGAAAATAAGACAGAAGTCAAGAGGTTGGTACGATACCGAATTGCCCCGACCAACTCCCTATCAGCCACCCAACCAACTCCTCGACCAACCCAACCAATCCTCTGACCAGCTCTCTTAGCCTACTTACAGCCACCTTATAGCCGCCTAGATTCCCTTAAGTAGAAACCCTTTAAAATCCCCAGCCATCTTCCTCATTGGGGATCGGTTAGCTCTCGAAAAAAAAAAAGAAAAAAAAAAATCCATTTTCAAACACACAACTACCCCCTTCAAAATACACGAGCACCATCTAGCTGAAAAAAAAAAGAAACGCAAAAAAAAAAACAACACAGTCCTCCCCGCAGGAGGAACCCAGCGTCGAAGCTACCTGCAAAAGTAAAAAAATTGCATCAATCTTGTTTCAACAAACCAAACAAAAAAATTTGAAAACAGAAACTTTGAGCCCCAATCTACGCTGATCGGGGTTGTTTCCGATGAAAAGGAAATCGGATCTGAAAAGAGGGCATCTAGAGCAGTCTTCGGTGACCTTCTGACCATTTTCCGATCACCGACGACCACCGCCGACGGTGGACCAGGCGGCGGCCGAACGGTGACCTGCCGA